TGGGGCGCTATCGCAATCAGTCATGCCATCGATGGCATCAGGTTGCTTCCAAGTTGCGACTCGCTTGTTTCTAACCGCACTCGTACGAGTTTTTGATGGCGCTGTGCGGAAACGGTACTTTGGCAATATTTTTCTTGGCGTTTATTTTACTTGCCAAATCATGGCGGTTATTTAAATCGCCACGGAACCTCAGGGTTGATCGCCCCTGGCCCAAGGCCGTACCTTTCTTTGCAGCGCCGCCAGGGTGCAACGACCCCCGTGCAATCAAAGAAGCCGTACCCCCCGGCAGCGCTGCTTGGGCACGGCGCTATCCCAGACATGGGAGCCACTTCCCAGCGACGCTTCGGGGGGCGTCGACTTTCCAACCAGGAAAGCCGCACCTGAGCAACGCTGCCGACGGGGGAACTGCGCTCGTGTCAAACACCCAGCTCCGGCCGTAACGTCAGCTTGGGACTAACAAAGAATATGGGGGGCGCGCGACTTAAACAATGGTTCCTTCCTCTGCTCGGGCGAATCGCGGGGGGGGGGGGCGCCCGCCAAGTTGAAACACACGGCGGCGGCGCAGGCGATCAACGCCGACGCCCGGCCGACTGCAGGAGGGTGAAAAGCGCGACGCAAGCGGCGCCGCTTCAGCGGAGGAGGACAGCAACGCCACCGATATAGCAGGGCGGTTGGGCCAACATGGCTGCAGACAGGAGATAAAGAGGAGGCTTTAGAAAGAGGGGCCTCGGCTGGCGGGCGGTGCCGCCATGACCACAAACAAAAAAGGGAACACAGAGGGCAGGAGCGGAAAAGGAAGGCAGAAATGGCTCTTCATTTTCATTATCCATCTTTCCGCCCTCCATTACAACGTCTTGCGACGAACGACAACGTCGACAACGACGACAAAGACGACGACGGCGACGGCGGCAGCGACGGCGACGGCGACGGCAACGGCGGACGACGACGCAGTGCGGATGCCATGGGGTCGAGAACGAGGACGACAACGACGACGGACGACGACAGCGACGACGACGCACTGCGGATGCCCTACGGGGGGGCTGTTTCTTGGGCCCGCTGTAAGCGACGACAACGACGACGACGAAAACGACGACGACGACGACGACGTCAACAACGCGACGAAGATGGCGGCGACGAGTTCGCACTTCGGACGCCATTGGGGGGTGGGGGAACTGCGTAGGCCCGGGCCGCACTAGTCGTCGACGACGACGACGGCGGCAACGAGACGACGACGACGACAACGATCACGACTATGCCACGCCAGTATTCAGCCTAAGAGAGGGAAGAGCTTCGCCTCGGATGTATTCTATCCCCGTACCAGCCGCTATACCGAGGGCAATCGGTTCGAGGCTGCCGTGCAGGGTGGTGCACGATACCCTCGGCGGCGCCCGCGACGACACCCTGGCGCGCGCGGTAAAAGAAATGTTTCGCGCCCCGCGGGGTCTATTCATCAGCCCCGGGGGACGGGGGGGTGGGGGGGGCCTCATTTGTTAGCCACAAGCTGACATTTCCAAGGCAGCGCTACCAGGGTACGCAAGGACTCCATGGCTGGGGGGGATCTCCGCACCCTGGCATATTGTGTGGTTGTTCCCCACATGTTTCGTGGGGTTGTGGTTTTTCCCCTGCCGCGCCGCACCCGCGTCTCACACCTCCCCCCTCCCCTTCTCCTCCTAAGCACGGCAAGCGTGGCACTTTCTCGACAACAGAGGGGGTGCGCTGGGGGTGGGGGCCCTATGCGCTTCGGGCTCGCAAAGCGTGGCAGGCGTGGCAGGCGTGGCACTTCCTCGACACCAGAAGGGGTGCGCTGGGGGTGGGGGCCCACAGCGGTCTCTATACGCGCCAATGTCGCAGGGCCTAGCAGGCGTGGCATTTCCTCGACGCCAAAGGGGGTGCGCTGGGGGTGGGGGCCCACCGCGGTCTCTATACGCGCCAATGTCGCAGGGCCTAGCAGGCGTGGCATTTCCTCGACGCCACAGGGGGTGCGCTGGGGGTGGGGGCCCACCGCGGTCTCTATACGCGCCAATGTCGCAGGGCCTAGCAGGAAGGGCGTTTCCTCGACGCCATAGGGGGTGCGCTGGGGGTGGGGGCCCACAGCGGTCTCTATACGCGCCAATGTCGCAGGGCCTAGCAGGCGTGGCACTTTCTCGACACCGGAGGGGTGCGTTGCAAGCTCCCAGGGCGTGGCAGGCGTGGCATTTCCTCGACGCCACATGGGGTGCGTTGGGGGTGGGGGCCCTGTGCGTTGCAGGCTCCCAGGGCGTGGCAGGCGTGGCATTTCCTCGACGCCACAGGGGGCTTGACAGCAGAGAGGGTACGTAGGTAGCGTAGCAACCTTGTCATTTTCTGGAGTCTATTTCTTGGGAAGTATGCACCGGTGCCTCAAACGTGTACGCGGCAGAAGTATTCTCAGCAAGGTTAATTGTAGACGCCTCGGCTCAAGCAGGCTCAAAGACAGCAGGCGCCCACAGGCATGCCCCCCAAATGTGCAGTGGCCGAATTGCCACCTCCGTGCACCATTCTCTTGAACCGGATGGTCGAGATGAGCGTCGACATTAGTCTGGCAGGGTTGCAACAGTACGTCGAAAAGCATGGCATGGACAGGGAGGTACGTCTTACGCAGACCACCTTGAGGCCTCCCTGTCCCCTGCGGGGCTGCGATCTGCGCAACGGTCGCCACTTTCGTGGGTTCCAAGGAGGCCCAGCGGAGGCACGTCTTACGCAGACCACTTTGAGGCCTCCCTGTCCCCTGCGGGGCTACGACGACGAATACGACGCCCAGTACGACGACGAGATACGACGACGACGACGAGTACGAAGACGACGAGTACGACGACGAGTACGACAACGAGTGCGACGACGAGTACGGCGAGTACGACGACGAGTGCGACGAGTACGACGACGACGACGCTCAGTACGCTGAGTACGACGGCGCTTGTTTGTCTGGTTGGTCTGGTTGGCGTGGTCTGGTTGTCTGTTCTTGACGGTCTGGTCTAGTTGGTGTGCTTGGTTGGCCTGGTTGGCTCGTGTGGTTAGTGCGGCTGATTCTGGCTGCGGTTGTTGGCATGACTAATATGGTTGGTCTGGCTCGTCTGCTTGATTGGCCTGGCTGGCTGGTCTGATTACTTTGGCTGGTTATGGCTGGAACGGAACGATCTGGCTGGTCTGGTCAGTCTGGCTGGTCTGGCTGATCTGGCTGGTCTGGTCAGTCTCTCGTCAGGATGGCGAAGCGAGATGTGACATGGTTTGTGAACACACGTGACATAAAATAAGTATGTGGGGTTCCTCGGTAGCGTAATTTGTGATATGTGATTTCTCACGCACTGAACATTGCCACGCTCCCAACTCCCAACTCCCAACTGCTATAAAGCCCGAATGGCCATCCAGCCGGACTAGCAAGGAGTAGGCCTAATATTAAGTCTTCGTTCACGGGATTGACAGGAATTAAGCGGGCGTGTGCCGGATCGGGCCCGGTTTTCGACGATGCTGAATTTAATCTCCCAGGAGTTGCACGCGAACCTTCGGAGGTTTTTAATTGTTTTCTGAAGAGTTCGCCTTTCTTCTGCAACCACGTGTGAACCCCAACCCTGCAGGTCAGATTTGTAGGAAACCGACGGGGGTGCAGAATGCAAGGGATGTCATCGCCCAGGTGAATGCCAGCGGAAGGGGATCCGATACCCTCGCGGCGATTGGACCCGCAGGGGTAGAGCTCGCGAATGGTATGGTTCGCGAGTGAGACACACGAGTCTTATCGCCGACGAGCCTGCGAGACAAACGAGGCCAAGCATCCTCAAAAAGACAAGGGTGTACGGGCCCGTTGCCTCTGATCCCCTCCCACCATCCATTCGGCGGATGCGCGGAGGAGCAGCGCAATCTCACAGGTGGTTTGCAACACTGGCAAGAGGAACGCAATTCGTGGCAGCCAAAGACTGCTGTCAGACGTAGGAGCGCCCAACCATTCGAGCCGTTCAGTGCCGCGGAAGGCCCTGCCACTCCTCCCCATCCATTGCCACGCGAGCGCACGCAGTCCCACTTTGCAGCATGTGCTCTGCGGGCAACGGACAAAGCCGCGCGACATCTTCGGCCGCCGCGGGCAACAAGCAAGGCCCCCAGAGAGCGTGAACCGCAGCGTGAGCCGATCTGCACCGCGAGCACATCGCGCCCACTGGCCCACCTGCAGCAAGTGAAACCGAAAAAATACGCCCCCTGCGCGGGGCGAGGTAGAAGGACGAGGGCAAGGAGGGAGGGAGGAGAAAGCAGGAGGAAGAGGACCAGGAGGGAGGAAGAGGAGGAGGAAGAAGAGGCCCGTCGAGGTTGCATCAGCAACCCAACGATGGCCTAAAGAGGGCTCCGAGAGGCACGACGTGTTGGTGGCAAAAGGAATCCCACCAGCCCTTTAGGGCGATGCCAGAGCGTCCAAAACGGCCTCGGCGATGAAGCACAAATCATTGGTTGTTAGGTTTGGGCCCCAGTTCGGCCTCTTTGGGGGGCACCCCTGACTGAAGCTCCCCTCTTGTTTGATCGATGTCCTCCAAGATGGCCACAAAAGCGCTCCCAAGGCTCCCAAGAGCGCTCCAAGAAGGCCCCAAGAGGTGCCCAGGAGGCCCCGAGTAACTCCGAGAGGCGCCCAAGGAGGCCTCCATGAGACCCCCAAGAGGCCCCAAGGCGCCCCAAGCTCCCCGAGGCACCCAAAACGCCCCAAGATGCCCCTGGGACCACCAAAAGGCCCCCAAGACGCTCCAAGACGCCTCCACCGGGGGACCCCTTCCTCTGCGTGCTGTCCACTTCCCTGATCGAGGCAACTCCTCCAGGCGTCGTTTCTGGATGGTCTGGTGAGGTTGCGCGAAGCGTCTAGAATTTCGGTCAGCCGCACCACCGAGCCCCTCGGGCGTGATGGGCGCGCTGCCTGCTCGCAGGGCTACCAGGGCGGATCGCGGACACCACAGGAAAGGGAGACAGTGGCAATGCATCGGCACGTAGCAGCATTCCATCGGGGCGCCTCGTCACGCGGGCTCGATGTCCGTTTTATCGAGCTGCCTCTCCAGCTGCCAGAGACCGTGCACACACAAGGCCTTGAATCTCATCTGCTCCATTCTCCACTGTCCCAGGGCCAAGCCGTCGACAAGCTTGCTCATCAACGTTTTCTCCCCCAGAGGATTGGGATCGCCAACTGCCACAAGCGGATTGAAATACACGAAGAACATCACCAGCCAAGCAATGATGTACGCTTTGAGACGGCCAGACATAACAGCAACCAACAATTCGCTGTAACTGTCATGTGTCTGCGCACGCTGCCTTGTGTCGTCGTCGAGCAGGCCGCAGGCAAATGGTAGAATGAACGACATGATAACAAGTGCATGGGCGGCGAACTCGCCCATCAATCGTACCTTGGCTTTCCTGTTAGCTTCCGCTACGCTGGTCTTCGACTCGTCTATTTGCCCGCAGGGCACAGTATAGAAAATATATAATAGAAAATACCACGCCATGCCGGGCAATGTGGCGAACATCAAGTTGAACAAGTGACGGTTCACGAAACGCGCGCCATGTGCGCCAACGACAATGTGGTAAATCTTTGGGGTCGCAATTAGATAGAGCACGACGTAGCTTGAACACCAGGTGCTGAGCTCCAACATTGTCCTCTCTTTCCAATCAAATGGATGGAACCTGTCGCACACGAAAATTCCTTGGAGTGGATGGTTGTTCGACGAGTAGTAATAAAAGTCTTTCCAATAACCTCGAGGAAACATATCCTCCGCCCTGCGGCAAATATAAAAATACTTCCGCAAGGGGGTCGCTGGCCTTGTAGTCAGGTCTGGATTCGCAAACTCTGGCTGGCTCAACTCCGCGTACGGGGAACTCGCGGATGCGTCCACTGATTCCCCGCTGAAGCTTCGTACCAGCGCCTTCAACATCGAGAGCTCCACCCCTCCATCATCCTCGGTCTGGCCTCCTTGAACCGCGGGCGTGAGCAGCCCCCTGCCCCAGAAACTACAGAAAGATAGATGTGCAGCCCGTGTCAGGTACTTGAAGTATTCACGCTCCACGCAATAGAAGTATGTATCGAATTCCTCCTTGCTGAAACCTCCGCTGTTGTCCGTGTCGAAGAGCCTGAACGCCTTGCGCCTGACGTCCTCGTAGAGCAGGCCGTGGAAGTGCTCGGGCATCTCCCTGATGAGGTCGCCGTGGGAGGTGCAGAATGCGTGGAACTCTTCCTGCGAGACATGGCCGTCCTCCGACGTGATCCCGTCCATCAGCCCGAACAGGTCCGCCAGGGCCCTCTCGTTGGCCCTCTGGTTCAGCCAGAAACTCCGGTGCCAGGCGCTACCGCCGTGGACCACGGCCAGCACGAGGGCGCACTCCAGACGGAAGGGTTCCTTCGCCTCGAAGAACGCCCTCGCGGAGTGGTCGCCGATACGCCCGCTCAGGCTCCTCGGAAGGAGCGACCTCCCGGCCTGGGACGCCCTCATCAGGTCGGCGATCGTGGCGTCCTCCAGGAGCGACGGGGCGATCTGCCAGCATGGTGACCGCCCCCGGACGCGACCATCTCGCCCCTTCCACTGCGTCCTCTCGGCCAGGCCGTGCTTCGTCGGCGGGTTTAGGGGGACATCGCTGGCCTCCCCCCCCAAGCCCGTGGGCTCCGCCTTAGGCAGGCCCACGTCGACTGCGGCCGCCATGCCGGCTGGCTGTCAGGAAGAGCCGAGGGGATGGAACCGATGCTGCGACGACGAAGCGAGGAGGTGGACTGGGAGATCACAGTGCGTAGCCCCAATCTCTTTTATTTTTTTGTTTTTCCTTCTCTCTCTCTCTCTCTTCACAGCGCCTTGATGTGCCCATGCAGTGCCGTCAAACAAGTGTGTATATGTGTGTGTGCACGTTCTCCCGATCGCCGGAGCAGCAACCTCTGCCCAGCCACCGACGCAAAAAGTGTGTGCGCGTGTCTGTGTGTATGTGCGTGTGTGCGTGCGTGCGTGTGTGTGTGTGTTTGTGTGTGTGTGTTTGTGTGTGTGTGTGTGTGCGTGAATGCGTGCGTGCGTGCGTGCGTGCGTGCGTGCGTGCGGGTGTGTGTGTACCTCCGCGGGGAGGCGGAGCCTGGTGGCCACGGCTTGGTCGGCCAGACCGCTCTCTGGGATGGGCTGGGACATGGGGGCCGACGTTGGGCTGTGGTGTCGCCGCTGTCTCGCCCATCGAACTTAGGTATGCGCCCCCCTTGGAGGCGCGCGTCCGAACCGAACATATAGCACACACACATACCATCGCGTATCGCTGGTCACGCGCACTGGCAAGAAAGACTCCGCCACCGAGCATGTACTGCAAGATTTCTCAGCGCGCGCATCGCCTCTGAGGGGGAGCGACGCACACATCGCAGGAGTACTATGTGTGAGCGATGCCGATGGATAGTGCATCCCTCGACTCAGTTACTGGGACCCTCGGAGCAACAACCACGTGCGGAGCTTGCGGAAGCCGCGCAGTGGACACTCTGGGGGGGGGGGGGCGCCGCCCCCGCCCACAGAGCCAGCCCGACCCCCGTCGGCGGGCAGACACCACGCGCCGAGTGCGACCGAACCCCCTTGGGCGGTGCGCGACGACGCGAGGTTGACCCCCATCGAGCGGGACACCCCCAGCTCTTGCGGTCTGGAACTCTTGTCGGGAACTTCTGCCCATCGTGCCGCCGGGGCGGCCCCGGCGACACGCTGCTCATTAGGCACTAGAGAACACCTAACCCTTTGCGAGGCGACTTGATCTAGGAGGGTCCGGAACATTAGGGATCAGGGGTCATTTCTACAGATGTGTCGAACCAAACCGCCCGGGCCTATTATCCCTGATGCAAGGGCGTGGCCCTCAGTGAGGCCACGTCTTCACTCTGTTATTGGGGTGAGGGGTTCTGTTATCCTCGATGAGCTATGCCCAGCGGGTGAGATGCCGTGCTTGAAGATAAAGGTGGGAACCTCCTCCTCCTAGTTCCCCTCTTCCTGCGGCGGGTTCGTGTCGTGGCGACCCTGGCTCTGGCTTCTGACCCACGTATGGGTCGTTCATCCTTGAATGATCGGCGGATTCTCGATTGCCGAGTTGGTCCATATTGGCCGAATCTGGGCTGGGTCACTGGCGGGCGTGCCGCCTCAAATGCATGCGGGGGGAGGCGGCGCCGCGTCAACACGACACGAGCGCAACGCACTCATCCGCATCCCCCCTCGTCATCCAAATACAATGGAAAATAATACCAAGGAACACCCTGCTTGCCTCCATGGTGTCCTGTTTTTTGGGGGGTTCGATGGCTTGCGATGGAATGCGTGACGTTCCCACCAAAAATGAATGGACGTCCTAGGGTCTCAAGATTGCGATTCTTGTGGGAGGTTTCTTGTGGCTGGGTCTCCACTGTAGACATGGCGGTCATTACTGCATGCTCTTCGCCATCCCTCGCTACCTCTCGATTCACTCCCACCTCCACACACACACACCCCATCGCCTTCCCCATCCTGGTTCTCTCTCACGCGCGCGCGGAGGTGGCAAGGGGAAGAGACGGAGGGACAATGAAAACTGACAGGGGTCATGCTTGCATCATGGCACACTTCCTCCACCCCACACATCATCCCGACAACGACCAAGGAGGAATCATATCCTGGAAATGTGGCCTGCGCTGGGCCGAACATACCATTCTGAAAGACGGGAGCAATGCGCCGATCTAGAACGTGGCCGCCGCCGCAGCGGGCGCACCAACTTGAAACATCAAAAACTTGCCAACGAACCATGTGACATTCCGCCAACCTCTTTTGGGGCCAGCAAGCGCCTGGGCTAGGCCTTGCTGCGCCTTGCAACCATTCCAGTTCCCAATGCCCCGTGTTACAGGTGACGAGCATAGTTGTCCAATGTTGCAATGACTGAAAACTGCGCGAGGGGCCCTGCTCGAAATCCGCCCAATTCCCACCCCATAGCCAGGCTGCCCAAATTGACGGCGGCCCTGGGACATGTGAGAATTCTACGGATTCGCGCCCACGTGGCCACCATACCGAACGCATTGCTGCAGACTCGCGCTTCCGAGGCCGCAATCCCCAGCGAATTCGTCGGAGGTTGGGGGGTGAGATCGCAGTGGAACGGGGACTCCCAGCCGGGAAATCGTTTCGCGTCGTTCGTGTCGTGCGTGCGGGCGAGGCCTAGCTGCGTGGGCGCGCGAGAAGAATGAACCCGCCGCTTCTAGGGCGAAGTCAAGACAAATGATTATCCCCCGCCCGCCCGCCCGTCTGGCGGTGGTTCGCGGTGTCCGGCGGTGTCCCGTGGTGCCCGCCGCTGCTAGGGCGAAGTCAATACAAATGATTATCTCCCGCCCGCCCGTCCGTCCGTCCGTCCGGCGGTGGCTCGCGGTGTCCCGCGGTGTCCCGTGGCGTCCCGTTGGGTGAAATCGATACTGAGATCGATAGTCCTCACCGCGAAGGCTGGCGGTCCAGATGCCCTCACCTGAAGAGACCACATGGACCAGCGGCACCGCACGCTTGCACGGACCCAGCGTCTCCTGGACGCCATTGAGCCTGTACCAGCCCTGTGCCGAGGAGACGGCTGCCGCGCCAGTGAAGCGGGTCATCCTGGCAACCGCCATCGCGCAACTGCGCAGACGCCGTCCTGCCTTTGGCCCAGGTGGAGCCGTTGCAGGTGCCGACGCTCGCCGCCCTCAGCTCCCGCGGGATCGTGGCTGCCCGCTCTAGAGGGCGCTCATCTGCGGCGGGGGCAGCCCGGCTGGGGCTTCGGCCGCGGCTGCGCGCCGCCAGCCGCCGCCGTGCTGCCTGTAAATACCGTCGCCAGAGGGCCCGCATCGGATGCCTCAGCCGCCAGCTCTCGCACAGCGCTCTGCGGCACCCGCTGCCAAGGGCCCGCCGCTGGGCCGCGCCTCTCTGCCTGCCCACGCGCGGCGGCTGGCTGAGCCTCGACCTCCCGCTCGGCGGCGGAGTCGGAGCCGATCGCCCCTCCATCGATTGGGCAGCAGTCTCCCCGCCGATCACGCGGCTTCTTCTCCGCCGCAGTCTCCTGGAGGGCGAACAATCCTTCCACCGCCTGGAGCTGCTGCACGATGGCCTCCCAGGCCCTGGCGAAGTTGCCTACCGAGTGCGCCGTCGGGAGCGTGCGCAGCTGCAGGAAGAGCCCTGGCAGAGCCTCCAGGTCTCCAGCCGGGGCCTGCAGGCGCTCCTGGGTGGCCCTGGCAACGGCGGCCTCCTCCTCCAGGGAGGCAAGCCGCTCGCGCGCCTCGGCTCTGCGGTCCTCGGCCTCTTCCAGCTGGTCCGCAACCGCCTGCACTGCCGCCTCTGCGTCTGCCACTGCTGCGTCAGCCGTCTCCACGGCCCTGCGAACTCCTGCGGTTTTGCGCTCCGCCTTGCTGACCGTGCTGGCCGCTCGTCGCAGCCGAGCAGCTGGCGACAACCCTGCCTCCTTGAATGCGGCCCGGGTTGCTTCGACTTCCTCCTTCCTCGGCTCGTAGGGAGGCCAGCCGTTCAGCCACGAACTCATCTTCATCGCCACCCAGGCTGGGAAAGGCCTCCAAGTGGTCAGTGGCGCGCTGCAGCTCTGCCAGACGGGATGTCTGATCCGAGCCGCCGCCGCCGCCGCCTTTGCCCTTGCCGCCCCGGCTGCTGCCTCCTCCACCCGAGTCCGAGGCACTCGCCGCCAGAGCCCCTGCCACGGCGCGTGCCCTGCGTCAGCCCTTTTTGCCCTTGCCCGCCTGGACGAAACCCTCGGCGTCGGGCTCAGGCAGGGGCGCCCGCCTGTCGCCCAAGGAGGGGCCTCGGCTTGGCAGCCGAAGCGCCGAGTCCTCGTGCAATAGCTCCACTGACCACAGGGGCACACCCAGTAGGTTCCGTCACCCCTCGCCGCGATCACCAGGAGCAACAGCAGCGCCCCACGCGGGAGGCGCCATCCCGCCGCGGCCGCGCGCCGCTGCTCCCCAGCTCGAAAGTTCAAAACTGCACTCTGGCCCAAAGCGGGGAACCCCTCGCGCTCCTCACGCCGCGCGCGACTCGCGGTCGTCGGGCGCTCCATGACCTTGAGCCAAAATGGCTACGGACGGTGGGGGCCTTGGATGAGGAAACCTTCGATAAAGGAATCCAGGGTCTGGAAGCCAGTGGAACTCCAATCGTGGATCGGCCATGGATATCACCGCCGCCCTCCTCCCAGAGGGTTCCAAATTGGTTTTGGGGGGAAGGTGTTTTCCAGAGAGCCCCCCAGGGGCCTCGGAACCTCGCCAAAACAGTGGGTGCGAAGCCCCCGGGGGACCCATCCTTGAAAAAACCCTCCCCACAAACCTCCTTTGGAACCCTCAAGTCCTCAGATAATGAACCCTCCAGGGTCTGAAGCCCGCTGGGCGCATTCCTCAACGAACCGCCCCCACCGTACCGGGGATCGTGGCCGTTCGGATCAAACGGGCAGCCAGCAGCAAGGCGGGACCACGAGTCCACGAGGGTCTTTGTGAAGAGACGGCTCCGGCGACGCGGCTGCCCGGACCTGGGGGCCCGGGGCTCCCCGCCCCCCCTCTCCCCCTGGAGGGCTGTTCTGCGGTCCTCTCTTGCCCCGACCAGCTCCTGCCAGCGAGACGCGAAGGGGTGAAAACTGAAATCCTCGATCCTCGACGGGCACCCGATGGGCGGCAGGCAGGGGGGCGACGCCGCGAGGGGCGGGGCCCCGCTGGCCTTGACGGCGCGCAGGATGGCGTCGGCCCCAGACCACTTCCTGCCGAGCCTGGGTCGCGCCCCCCCGCGCCCGACGGACAGAAGCTTCTGCTTGGCGTGACGCGGCGGCGGCCCGGGAGGACACGCTGTGCCCTGCAAGCGGATAGCGTATCGCTCCGCTCCGCGAGGCGGGAGGCTGGCAAGGGCTCGGGACGCCGACGTCTGAGGACCAGGACTTGATTGGCGTGTCGCGCCGAGACGGGGTGGGCCAGTTCCGCGGCGCGACACGCTAACCAAAAATCCTCGACCGCAAACTTATTGCACTCGTCCTCCTCGTCCTCGCCGTCGTCGCCGCCGCAACCGTCGTCGTCGGCGGCAGCTGCCGGCGTCGACATCGGAGGGTGCGGCTTCGTCTGCCGCGGCGTCGTCGCCGCCGCCGACACCAATGCAACCGACGTTGACGACGATCGACACCGACGAGGAGCACATAGTAAAGGGAGGGGTGAAGGAGGAGCCGCAACTGTGTCCACGATTTCCCTGCTTCTACTCCTCCTCCTCCTCCTCCTCCTCCTCCTGCTTTTCGTCCTTCTCCTCACTCCTCCCATCCACTCCTAACGCCCCCATCCCGCACCCTTCTCCCACCGAATTCCAACCTCCCCCATTTCCTGCGAGCGCTGCAGGTACCACATGGGTGAATCTTGCAGTTCTCACCACATCCACGGGCACTAGTCCAGCTCACCCCAGGAACTTGAATACTAAACCGAATCAGCACATCGTAACCAACAGGCCCGACCAGCGGTACCAAGAAGCGCGCGACATACAATACACGACCTGTCTGGGCGCGGTGCCGCAGCTGCCGTCCCTGAAATCCGACGTCACGAAAACACTGCAGCATCGCAACGACAGCTCGCCTGGAACCCTGGACCCCATCTCTCTCCTGCATTCGTCGTCCCAGATCGATCCGCCAGGGCCCGAAACGAGGCAAGATTGCTGGCTGTAGTGATTGGCGGTGAGCGAGGGGGTGGCGTAAGCCCTCGTCGCCTTCCCTGCAAGTGTCCTGTGCCTCCGGGGAGGGCCCCGACAACTCCTCGAAAGGCCGTCCCTTCTGAGAAGGCCCGCCCTCTCTCACTTCCCCCCCTGGCTCGCCGCCGAGAAGACGAGCTGCGCCAGGCTCCCAGGACCGTCGCCGCCGCTGCAGGCTGCCGTCGGCGTCGTGGCCGCGCGGCGTCTCGACAAGCCTAGGCGCGGCCGCCGCGTGCTCGACCAGGGCGGCCAGCAGCGTCAGCGGCGCGCCCTGTCCGCGCGCGCGGGCGGGCGGGCGGCGACGACGGCGGCGACCTCGATGATGGTGGCGCCCTGGACGACCGCGGCCTCGACGACGACGACGACGACGACAGCGACGGCGGCGTCGACGCCGACGACCACGACGACAACGGCGACGACCGCGGCGACTACGACGGCGGCGGCGACAGGGACGACAGCGACGACACAAGGCGAGAACGGCTGCATCAACGCGGCGGCGGGGTCGGCAGCATGCGCTAGACGCAGCCGTCGTGCAAAAAGCATGTTAGTGTTTCGCTTGCTGGGTCCTGCTGTGAACTGGGTAGCTTCGTAGAACACGATCGATGATCCTCAGAACGTGAGTTAGCGCAACCGTGTGCTTGTCCACCGAAGCCCTAAACTGCGACGCGGCTGGCGCAGTGAGGGCCAACAACTCCGGCGGGACTGACACACGTTGAGCCAGCACACGTCCTGAGGATCATCGAAACAAAGACGGGGGCCACGACGACGACCTTGACGAAAACTACGGAGGCGACAGCGACGGCGAGGACGACCTCTGGCGCCTCCCCCGAGGAACGAGGCGGATCCAGCCGTGGCCACGAGATGGTCATACGCGAAGGCGACCGCGACCGCGAAGACCACGACGACGACCTCGACCTCGACGAATGATACTGTGATGGCGACCACCACGCAACCTGCATCGACAACAACGATGACGACGACGACAACAACTGAGTCCCACCAGAGGTCTCGGGAGGACCTCGACAGTCCCCAGAGATCGCTGGAGGCATATGATGAAGGCCCTGAGGCCCTAGAAAGGCCAAGAACGCCCACACACCTCGACTCTCGAGCAACGATCCTCGACGATGGCGACGACGACGACGAATGAGCACGGTGAATGCAACCACGACTACGACAAGAACGACGGCAGCTTTGACAACGACGACCCTGGGCGCGACGACGATACCGACGACAACAGCGACAATTGCTGTGCCCACGCAATCGACGCCGCCGCTGCCGACGCGCACGACGACGACAGCGGGGAAGAGAATAAGTCAGATGTCCGAGCGAATTTCTTGGATCGGCGCTGTACTCCCCTCCCTGGCGCGCGAAGCGCGCCAACTGCGGCGCCAGATGCGCCGCGAGGGGGGGCCCAGCGCCGATCCAAGATATCCGCGCTGAGATCCAAAAGTTGAGGGTCGGGAGCTTTTGCTCAGCGTATCGCTGCGGCGGCCTTGCCGACGACACGCTATGCCCTGCGAGCTAATAGCGTGTCACTCGCGTTCCGCGGTGCGGCAGGCCAGGCGACGCTCAGGACACTGACGCCTGGGGATGGGGAAGCGGCCAGCGTGCAGCGCCACGGAGCGTGGTGGGCCAGAATCGGTGACGCGACAGGCTGCAGTCGACACACGACAGAATGTGGGTCAAGAACCTGATGCCCCTCCGCCGAGGGTCAAAGCCCCCAGATACCCAACACGAAGAGCATTTCACGGAGGAAAGGCCAACGGCGAAGAGCATATGGGGACCCCATCCGAAGCGACGGCAGCTTTTCACCCTCGTGCCAGCCGCAAGACCAAACTTCCTGACAGTATGTGTATTCCGATGGTTCTGCTTCTTCTTCTTCTGTATTCAACTTCAAACGCGAAGAAAGACGTCGGCGACGAAGAGGACAACGACAACGACAACGACAAGGACAACGGCAACAACGACAACGACGACGATGACAACAATTTTCGGGCCACAACTCGGCTCCCTGGCGGCTGTTCGGGACGATTCGGGACCCCCGGAACGATCTCGGCGAGGCGCAGCCGTTAGAAGGCACCCCGAGGGTGGAAAACCATCGAAGACCAAGGAAAGCGTCCGAAAATCCCAAAAACCTCTAAGCGAGGACGACGACGACGACGACGACGACGACGAACGACGATGACGACGATGCCGACGACGACGACGCCGACGACAACGCCGACGACGGCCACGCCCGCGGGTGGCGCGGGCGCTCGCTGCGCGCGACCGCTCCGCGGTGCGGCGCCTGGCTCTCCGCCTCGGCCTCGCGGCGGGGCGGCGCCCCCCCCCGCTGCGAGGCGGCGCTGCCGCGCCGTCGTCGTCCGCCGCCGCCGCCGCCGTCGTCGTCGTCGTCGTCGGCGTCGTCATCGTCGTCGCCATCGTCGTCGTCGTCGTCGTCGTCGTCGTCGTCGTCGTCGTCGTCGTCGTCGGCGTCGTCGTCGTCGTCGTCGTTGCCGTCGCCGTCGTCATCGTCGTCGCCGTCGTCGTCGTCGTCGCCGTCGTCGTCGTCGTCGTCGTCGTCGGCGGCGTCGCTTCGAGGGTTTAGATTTACGGACGCTTTTCCCAGTTGTCGGTGGTTTCCACCCTCGGGATGCCCTCCAACGGCCTCGCCGAGAGCGTTCTGGGGGTGCCCGAATCGTCCCGAACGACCGCCAGAGAGCCGAGCTAATGGCGTCGACGTTGATTCCGACGGGGTCGTCGACGTCGGTGTCGTCGTCGGCGTCCTCGCCGTCGGCGCAGTCGTGGGCGTCGTCGTCGTCGGCGTCTTCGCCGTCGGCGTCGTCGTGGACGTGGTCGTCGGCGTCTTCGCAGGGGATGTTGTTGTGGGCGTCGGCGCCGTCGGCGTCGCAGGATCTGGCGTCGGCGTCGAACCTGGGAACAACTGTAGGCGCAGTTGTCGGCATTGTAGTCGACGTCGGCGCCGTCGTCGTCTTTGGAGTCATTGTGGCCGCTGGCGTCGCCGTCGCAGGATCGGATCAAATATGCAATGTGAGGCAATTGGGGGCATCTGGATGCCTCCGGAGGCCTCCACGGAGAGACCTCGGGATGCCTCTGAAGTCCTCCGGAGATGGTCGTCGTCGGCGTCGTCATCGCTGTCGTCCTTGGCGCGGAAGCCGTGGTCGGAGTGGGACGAGGAGCATGACAAGGAAGAAGGAAGAGGAGGAGAAGGAGGAGGAGGAGGAGGAGGAGGAGGTTGGAGGAACGGTGGAGAGGAGGGGGTGGGGTGGTGAGGAGGAATACAACCCCACCGAGCCTTGGATAAAAAAAACCTCTCAGAACCAGCCTGTAACATCTCCGCGGCACCTCCCTAGAACTCCTCCTCCTCCTCATCATCCCCCTCTCTCTCCTCCTCTCTCCTCCTCCTCCTCTCCTCCTCCTCCTCCTCCTCCTATCACACCACCCGAACCCTCAGAATCACTTTGTTGTGGGCGCGTGGGGCAGGGCGGCAGTGACTCGTTTTGATCACAGAGCGGGCACTGCAAAGCCCTGCAAAGCGGACTCTTCTTGATCCCAAAGCGTGACTCCTCCTTATCCCAGAGCGTGACTCCTCTTGATCCCAGGGCGGATTCCTGATGCCCTGCAATGCGGACTCTTGATCCCTCAGCGCGACTCCTCTTAATCCCAGAGCGTGACTCCTCTTGATCCTAGAGCGGACTCCTGATGCCCTGCACAGCGGACTCTTGCTCCCAGAGCGTGACTCCTCTTGGTCCCAGAGAGGAGGAGGGGAGGAGGAGGAGGAGGAGGAGGAGGAGGAGGAGGAGGAGGAGGAGGAGGAGGAGGAGGAGGAGGAGGAGGAGGAGGAGGAGGAGGAGGAGGAGGAGGAGGAGGGGGAGAGGAAGGAGAAGGACGAGGAGGAGGAGCAGCAGCAGGAGCAGGAGGAGGAAGGGGAGAGGAGGAGGGGAGGAGGAGGAGGAGGAGGAGGGGAGGGGGAGGAGGGGGTGGAGGAGGTGGAGGAGGAGGAGGAGGTGGAGAAGGAGGAGGAGGAGGTGGAGGAGGTGGAGAAGGAGGAGGAGGAGGAGGAGGAGGAGCAGCAGGAGCAGGAGGAGGAGGGGGAGGAGGAGGAGGAGGAGGCGGAGGAGGCGGAGGAGATCCTAGAGCGGGCCCTGCAGAGCCCGGTCCACCAGGTGGGCTTCGGCTTACGGGCAGCGCGGCGGCGCAGCGGCCTGCGCTCGGCGGTGTAACGAGCGCGCCCGTCCAGCATAAGCTCTCAAGCCCTACCCTCTACAGGAGGAATATTCAAAGATAGTCAAACAATAGTCAGGGGACGATGTTTTGAATATCTGTTGACCATTGTGTGGTAATGTTCGACTACTGTTGGATTTTCGTACAACATCCCCCTGTAGGAGGACAGGCTCGACTTAGCCCAACCTGGATCCTAATCCCGCCCTCCATATCCTCGCCCTTCTGCTTTTTCCTCCTCGGTCCCTTCTTCAAACCCCCTCGCAATCCTCACCCCTCATAGCCGTCACAATCACCCCCAATCATTATCATTCTTCTCCGCCTCGTCTTCTGTTCCTCTCTCCTGCTCCACCGTCGCCGCTTAATCGTCCTTAGTCCTTACTCCTCGTCGTCCTTGGCTTCTTCTCTCATCTTATCCTCCTCATCCTGATCCTGGTCATCTCCCTTCAGTCCCAAACGGATCTGATCCCCATGGAAGCCCCAGTCGAAACCCTAGACTCGCCCCCCCGCCCTCCCTCCCCTCTAGCACCCCCAAGGCACCTTAAACCATCCTCGGACCAACAGGCACCTTCTGGAAACTGGTGAAACACCCTGTCTCCTCGTCGTCCTGTCCACTTCTGATTCTCACTCCTCTAGCCCTCCCAATCATGCTCCCATTCTCCAAAGTCCTGGTCAACCACCCTGTCCCTGTCCCTGGCCTTCGCTGCCAATGTCCCTCCTCTCTCCTCTTATCATCCCCGTCTCGCGCCTCCTGCTGCTCGTTGTCGTCGTCGTCGACCTCCTCCTCCTCCTCCTCCGATTCCCTGTCCCTGTCCCTGCGTATGTCAGAGCTGCGCGCGCCTGCCTCCGTGTTGTCAGGCCTCCTTCGGCCAAATGGGCATGGCCCCGAGCGGTTCAACATCCGTGTGAGCTGAAGTGCCGGGATCGGGCATGGTATGAAACACGGGCCAGAACGGGGAGAGGCCCGCAGTCCATGCTCGGCTTGTCGTGACCTTGCACGCTTCAAGATTGTCACACCGTTGTCTCCCAACGGGGCACGTCCCTCACTGGCAGTGAAACCTTGTATGGGGCCCTGAGACCTTCTATGGAGCTTGGATGGAGGGTGTCCCCCAACATCGTTGATGCGTCTTGGTTTACAATGGTCACGCTTCATCCTCATCTCCATCGCCGTCAATACCCATAGTTCTCTTCTAACCATGGCCGCCGCCATCGTCATCAGAATCACCCTCGTCATTCGATTCATCTCCCTGCATCGCGCTCACTCTGTTTATGTCGCAGCGTGGCAAAAAGCGATCCGCACGCGCGCTCGAGCGGTCCGGGCGACGGAAAGCGCGAAATGACCGGCGGCAGAAGGAACAGAACGGCGGAGCAGCGCGCACACACATCGGGCTCCCAGAACAAGCACCAAGAACGCTGGCGCACGGGCTGTGCGCTCAGCCAGAGAGGAAGGCAAGGGGATGGGGACCGACACCGACACCGCTCCGCGCACATGCTGGGACCGCCGATGCAGGACGGCGGTGGGGCAGCAGCCCTTCGCATGTGGACTCGTGTCGGTCCAACGTCTCCGTGGATTGTGGAGGCGTCGATCTGCATCTTTCTCCCTTCAGTACAAGGTACCAGCTGAAAACTTGTTACCCCCATCATTGCAAACTGGCACCGATGGATTGTTGTGCCCATCGTGTGATCCTTCTGCGCTGCACAACACCCAAGCGATCACAAGCACAATTCGAAAAAAACGCTCGGACATACGAGTAGTGCGTTGAACCCATTCGTCCCAAGGCACCAGACCGATGCCGCTGCTCAGTCTCGTCCCCGATATGGTGATATGGTGGCATCGTCGTCGGCCTTGACGGTGTGTTCTTATGGTGACCCAAATATCATTTGCTCGCATCTCCTGGCGCTGGGCTCTACGCGTTGTTTTGTATGGCGAAGCGATTATGGCCCATGATGCCAAGATCATGGGAGTCACAAAGCCATTAACTAAGCAAACTAGTCGCGCAACCTCTACGGTCGAGACTGACATTCCCGTATGACTGCTAAGCAGATATTCCACACAATTTGAGACGTGCGTCGATTTATATGCACGGCTGGTTGACGAATGTAAGATTTCGCCCCACATATTGTTGGTTGACAACGCCCGGAAGGATCTTTGCTAACGTCTCCCGCATTGGTGCGCTCAGGAATTTGTATATGGCGTCGTGCTTCCATGCTACTTCGTAATTTGGTATGTTGCTGATGTAGCTCAAGACCTGCGTCCATCGTAATGACATCGACCGCGAATCGCAAGCTAGACAAGGGTGCGATAAAGAAACGACAACGTCGAAATATATTGTGTTGATTCCCCGTTTGCCCGACACGATTTGAACGAACCATTGGGGAGTAGATAACTGAGCGGATTTCCCAGCCTCGTCCCACGTTCAACGTTTACTACCCGGCCAACGAGGGGCTTTCCACAAAGACTGGCTCAACAAAGTATCGCACGCGATTGAAAACTTCAGATGGCTGCTCATACGGGGCGTTGCCACTCCCAGCCCAATTCCCTGGAAGCTGCCATTCCAGGGATAGAGAGGGGCACGAATGGGAGGACGGGGAGGGATGATTGGGGAGGGGGAGAAGAAGGTCGAGATGAGAAGGATAATGATGGGGAGACAGAGCAAGAGGAGGACCAGGAGGAATATGACGAGAAAAAAAACAACAGGATGAGGTAGAAGGTGATTTGGGAAAAGAACGAGGCGGAAGAAGGAAAGGCGGGGAGGACGTGGAGCAGGGGGAAGGCGGAGGCGACGGCTGAGAAAGAGGAGGGGGCGGGGCGGGGTAAAAGAGGAAAATGAAAATGAGGTGGAGGAGGAGGAGGACGACGACGACGCCACCAGGACCACGATCACCGCGACAACGGCGACCGCGATGACGGGCACAACAATGACGACAACCAGGACCACAGCCATAAAGGCAAAAACAGCCACGACGACAAGGACGACCCGGAAGACCACGACCGATTCGCCCTGGAGGCCCTGGAGGAGCCCCGAAGCCCGAACAAAAAATTCAAGAGCGCCCCAAAACCTCGACCCACGAGCCTCGACCCTCGATCCTCGAGGACGGCGGCGATGACGGCGACACGCCCCGAACCCGCTCATAAAACCGGTCCTGGAGCCCTCCTGGGGGGCCCTCCTGGGCGCGTGCGTCATTCACTCCGGCTTGCTGTTTGACTGTCCTCTGGAAGCCGAGGGTGACGAGCGGCGGAGGGGTCGGGAGGACGGCGAGCGGAGGGGAAGAGGGCGAGGAGGGGGGGAGAGGGGGAGAAGGGGGCGAGGGGGGAATGTGATAGTGGGGAGAAGGAGGAGGAGGGCATAAGGACGGGGAGGAGGAGGAGGAGGAGGAGGAGGAGGAGGAGGAGGAACTTTGGGAGAGGAGGGCCTCGAGAAGCCGAAAACGACGAGAGAAACCCTTGAGATCCTCGACGACGACTGCGGCAAAAGCGCCTCCCCGACGACAAGCGTGTGCACCGCCAGCGGCGCCTGCGCGGCCCCGCCCGCTCGTGCCGCCCCTTGCCCGTGGAGGCAAGACCCCCAGGGCCTCTAAAAAGTTGCGTCCTCCTCCTCCTCCTCCTCCTCCCTTTTCTCCCCCTGCTCTTCCTCCTCCTCTTCCTCCTCCTCTTACCTCTTACCTGGCTGCGGAGGAGGTTCCATTGAGGGCCTCCGAAAAGCGAGGGAAAAACCTCAGGGCCGCCTCCATCGGAAGAGACGTTTTCCAGCTGCTGACAGAGGTCCCATCCCCCTGCCAGCAGCCCGACAGGAGGCAACCCTAAGGACCGGATCGCTCGGGCCAAGCCTGGAGATCTGGGGGGAGCTTCCCCGCTGAAAGACGTGTGACCACTCTCTTGCCATGGGCAATGAGGTCTGGAACACACTGCTTGCCTAGCTTCAAGAGCGTGCCTCTTACTGGGACTCAGTTCCTCCACAAGCCTGGCACCACACAGCCCCGCGGAAGAAATCCAGCCGATGGTGAGCATGAACCGACGCGGGGATCCCAGGGCAGCTCGAGAGTAGGAACGACCCTGGGTCATGAGACTCCTTGACGATACAAGCCTGACACCTCCGCACACCCGAGCAGGACCGTTCAACTCGGTGCTGCGTGTCGGACATGAGTTGCTCAAGCCTCCCTGTACGGGTCTGAAGGCTGGGCAGCACGCAACTTAGCTTGTTCCTGGCGGTTGCCCCTGGCGGAGGCCCCATACAAGGCTGGCGCCTGCTTAACCAAAGACAAGGACACCGCCAGGATCGAATTAATCACTGGCGAATTCAGCTTATCCTTCAAACTTATCTGGCGACGATTGTCGAACGGGATCCGGGCCATCCTAGCAGCTTCATCTGCGGCATGGCCGGCCAGACGATTAACTTGCCAGCGGGCCTATCCGTATCCTAAGGTCATGGCAGCCTTGAGACTGAAATGGGAGCGAATGTGCCGCACCTGGATGGGACGATCACCTACTGCTCTCCAGAAATCTCTCCACAAGAAACCCAGCTTCTTTTGTTGAAAACTCGGACCCGCTCGGGTTCCTTTGACAACACCTTCATGATCAATGACACAAAAAATAAGCCCTGCAGTGCATTGAACAGCTCTCAGAGTCGTAACAAGTTCTGCTGATATTGGTGGTCGATTGGCAGGGGTCCTAAGGCCCAACCGATGTCGTCTAGCTGGCCTGAACGGAGAACCGCAAAACCCCAACCACACCGACGAAGCCTAGGGTCAGCCGGGTACCCCCCCGACCAATCCAACCCAATCACGCACCCCCCATCACGTACTAGCCGTCCTGCTTGCAACTGCGGGCTGGGTCTCTCAGATCCGTGGATCGGGACTCCACAGATGGAAGGAATCCAGGCCAACGGGCGGCAAGCCTCTAAGCCAGAAGCTGAGTGCCTCTTGGCTACCACCTACTGCCTGTTGAACGAAGCTCTTTTTAAGCCCCGAGATGTGCCGATTGGCAGGGCAACTCCAGAACTGGTGGAGGAGCGTCTCTTCAGGGGCCCCACGCCTTGGGCAGGAGGGAGACCCCCACGGAGGACTAGGACCCAGGAAAAGCTCCGTGTCACAAAACCGCATAAGAAATATGCCTCCTCCTGCTCCTCAACCGCGCGAATCCCTTGATCGATCATGGAGTCGACGTCATCTTTCAAACCCCTGCGCCTGCGAGCTAGCTGACGGTTCGCTGGGGTGGAAAGGACGTCGGGTTTCCACTCCAAACAGGCGGGAGGCTGGCCAGAGGACTCCAGAATAAATCATTTCTGGAACCGCTGCCTGATCATGGGCTCCCGTGGCCTTCTTTCTATGAGCTTCAGCAGAGCGGTATACATGTCAGTGCGGCCTCGTAGACTATTGCCATGCTACTGTTCGCTGGCTTTCCTCCAGGCTGCCTGATCAAAAGCCTCGAGGAGAGCGAAATCGAGCAGTCGTTCGGGATCACATGCATGAGTGTTAAAAGCTTCCCCATCGGGGGCCGTCCAGCTGCCTGGTTGATCAGGATACCATTCTGCTCCGAGGAGGCGCGCAACCACTGCTGCAACAAAACCACTCACCCGCTTCCAACGGTTGGCCGCATCTCCAAGCCTGTCCCGAGCTTGACCCCGAGCCACCCGGAGTCCGTACTCATTGGTCTGCAGGAGTGCTGGCAAGGGGTGTGTCCATTCTCGGAGGACTCGCATGCGGGTTGAAACCAACGGGTCATGAAGGGGATTCTGGAAAGCACACCGAAGCACAGTGATAGAACAATCTTCTTCCCGTCTCCCCGCCATGCCCGTCATTGCTAAGAAGGCCCTTGGCTCGCCTATCTGATTTGACAACACGCTTGATATTGGAAGCTCGCTGCGATGCCTTGGCGAAACGCTGCTTCAGCACTGCTACTGAGCGAGCCTTGCCTACTGTGCCTGTGCCCTATGCGGAGGTCCTCGCCTGACGTGCCACCCCGAAGGATGTGGCCAGCCGGAGCGAGAGCAGAAAGCCTCCTCCTCCTCCTCCTCCTCCGCCTCCGCCTCCTCCTCCACGTCTCTCTCGCCGCGAAGCCAAGCAAGACACAAGTGTCCTCAGCAGTCGCGGCATATCCGCGTGCCCCTGCTGCTGTGAGTTTGGCCATGCCCAGCCGTCGTGTGCAATCAGCAGAAGCAATGGCGCAGTCACAACGATGTTATCACGCAAGCGTAGTGATGTTATGAGCAA